CCCCCGGAGGCGCTCCCTGCGCAGGAAGAAGACGGAGCCCGAGGCGCCGGACCAGGCCGCGCTGGGGGCGCAGGCGGCGGCCACCATGGCCTGGCACCTCAAGGCCCAGCGGGAGCTCTCAGCGGGCCTCCTGCCCACCAAGGAGGAGGAGAGGACTAGCCTGGCCCCCGTCGCCCAAGCCAGAGGGGCCCACGGTGCCGAAGGGCACAGACCGCTTTCGGGGGGTCCCCCGGAGGGCAGCAGGCCCTTCCCCGGCAACCACAGCAGTCCCCTTTCCTCGGGGCCTCCCCTGCCCCTGGTGTCCAGGGTCTCCAAGGTGAACATTCCCCCCTTCGTGTCCAGCCCATCCGGGTCCCGAAGTAGCAGCAGATACTCCAGCACTGAGACCTTGAAGGAGGACGACCAGCTGGGGGGCTCCTGGGCCAGCCAAAGCAAGGCCAGTCTTGGCCTGTGTCGGGGGTCCAGTTTCAGCCAAAGCGACAGCCCCACCAGGCTGCAGCCCCAGGTCCGGGCCCGCCCCAAGCTGCCTCTGGGCTTTCTCAGGACCAAACAGGAGCTGTCCTCATTTGAGAATTTGATGCCCTGCGGCCTTGAAGCAGCCGAGAAATCCAGGCACCAGAAGTCCATGTCCAATCCTGACATTGCCAGCGAGACGCTGGCCCTCCTCAATTTCCTGAGATCAGACCTTTCAGAACTGAAGGCCAGGAAAAGGGGCAGCAGGTTGAGTGACCAAGAAGAGATGGGGTTTAGCGGCGGCGGTGGTGGCAGCAGATACGAACACTATCCCCAGGGAGGAGCTGAGCACCAGCTGGTGAGTAGGACCCAAGGTGAGGTTCAGCCACCCAGCCGTTGGGCCTTGGGCAACCGTCCAACCCTGAAAGACCTCACGGCGACTCTGAGGCGGGCCAAATCTTTCACTTACTCGGATAAACCAGCACCCCGCAGACTCTTCCTGCAGAATGCCATGAAGCAGAGCTCTTCAGAACTGCTCCTTGCCACCAGCATCGACCACAATGGTGTGGTTTCTGACAGCGATGTTGGCCGAAGCAGGGAAGACGAGGTGCTCCCTGTAATCATCCAAGATCAGTACATTCAAGAAGCCAGGCAAGTTTTTGAGAAGATAAGTAAGATGGGCTCAGAACACGATTACAATTTTGCTTTGGACTCAAAGGAGAACAGAAGGGGAAAGGACGAAGGGGAGGAGGTAGAACCTCAGGAGGGTGAGGTCCCAGAAGAAAGCTGTGGTCAGTGCTTGAAGAAAGCTGATTCTGATGGAAATCTATCCTGCAGGAAATCATTAGAAGAAGGTCCTGAATCCAGTATGACAGATGAGGGAATTGTGACTGAGCCAGAAACATCTCCCTACAGTTATCTTGATCCATCCGTTGCCGCGTGGAAGTTGGCCAACCGAAGAGGAACTGAAATCGACCCACTTGAGAGGAAGGAGAAACTTCTCCCAAACCATTTAACCAAAGGGAATAATGAGAAGGTAGCAGTTATTGATGAGGTCATCCCCAGTCACAAGATGGCGTCCCAAGGATTGTTGGAGACACCTCTGACCCCTAGTGCTCTTCGGCGCCGGAGGAAGTTCCCGTCAGTAGGAAACAATGGTTCTGAATCCAGCAATGGAAGCAGCGGGGAATCCAGTGGTGAGTCCTACAGATCTCTCAGTGATCCTATGCCCCACAGAAGGTGTTCCATCACAGAGGATTCAAAGAACTTCTCCGTTGACAGTAACCTTCTGGGGTCATTGAACTCAAAGCCTGGCATCTTAGATTCCTCAGCCACGGCCTTATCCGACTGCACAGGAAGTGCCGCCAGCGACCTCTCTGTTTGCAGTGATGGCATCAAGGATTACAACACCGTGATCCAGAACATTGTCAGCCAGCCTGGGGCCATGGACAAAGTGATTGATGAGAAGGGGAATGGCAAGCCCATCAAGAAGAAATCTTTCAGTGACCCCAGCCGGCGTGGCGAGCATGCCAGCCCAGGCTTCATGGGAGCTGGAGAACCCATCAATGAGATGGATCAGAACATCCTTCCATCCAGCAGCGAACCCATCCTTTCAGAGCAAAGGGACCAGCCGGGGGAGCAGGAAGTGGGCAGGCTGTCCTCCCAGTCTGAGCAAATTCTGCTGATGCCACCAGAAGACGATGCAGTTGACGTCCCTCGTAACTATAGCTTTGATCCCAAGCTGGCTGAGGTCTTGTCACCTAGGATAGTTCGTCGGAGTTCCAAGAAACGCGGCGACCGGGTGAGCAGCCAGGGAAGCAGAGACGAAGAGGTCGCACTGTCCCCCACTGTGCCCACCGCACTGGGCAGAGCAAGGCCAACCTCCAAGCATGTGCGCCACACCAGCGAACCTGCCACCTTTATCCCCATCTCAGATGCCAACCTCCCCAGTTCACTCAGTCAGAACACCCACCCTGCTATGCAGGAGCTTCCACGTCTGCCTACAAAACCCTATCCTGTTCTCCAGGTTCCATCGTTGGAGGATGTTACTAAGCACTACATGTTGACCCTCAGTTCTGGGGAGTCACTTCCCACCAACACTGTGGATACCCCCAGATCGTCACCTGCCACGCCAACCACTACTGAACCCAAACTTCCCAGATGCCCCAAACATCATGGAGATGGGAACGCTAGCAGCTCCAGAAGCAAGCCACAAGTGGTGAGTTTCTTGGTGTTTAGTTTTCTCTGGATTGTAATAAGAGTCTTGACTTCCGCTGACTCGTTTTGATATGTTTTGCATCCACATTTGGGGTCAGGCTTAAATCTCTGCAAACCAGGTTGTACAATCTGGCATAATTGCTCTGCCAACATGTGGGACGTGTATGCCATCGTCTTCTCCGAGTTCACTTGTGGAGGGATTCTGGTAATATCAGATCCTCAGTTTGAATGTGGTTGTATCTAGGTACAAAGATGATGGCAAAAAATAGGCTGCCTGGGTGACGTCGTCTTTTCCAACATAGCATTGTCCAGATACGACCATGGCTACTTTGACTAGGGGCCCATGGAATTGTTAGTCCAATACATCTTGCTTGGAGAAGGCTGAGATACCATTTCAGTGTGAGGTCCATTCAACTTTGCAAAGGTTGTGTTGATAACTCATTCAAGAGCTCAGAAGAGCAAATGGGGAGATGTCTCATGCCCTATCCCTAGATTCGGGCTTTCGGTTTCTAGTCCTCCTGGCAAGTAAACTCAGAGCCTTGGAAGGAGCAACAGGTACTACTTGTAACCAAGCTGTTTACGCAAATGAGGTTTGCTGTGGTGGCATTTTTAAGGTCTGAAGTAGGAATTGGACTACGCGGTACCCAAGTGCTTCTCCGTGGGAAGTTGTGTTGTGGGGGATGGCAGTAAAGCACCCATCTACTAGAGTAACACAGCACAGGCCAAAGTCTAAAGTGGTACAGGCAGAGCAGGGCTTCCCAAGCGTGGCAACTTGGGGATGTGCGGACTCCCGTTCCTAGAATTCTTAGCAATGGTCATGCTAGCTGGGGAATTCTGGGAGTTGAAGTCCACACACCTTAAAGTTGCTGAGGTGTGGGAAGCACTACCCAGGTGGATGGAACATGTCAGGGAGGTTTGGAAGGCAGAGATGCCCTTGAGTTCAGCTTGACTCCTGCTGTCTCCATGGACAGATCCATGCTGGCTTTTTTTTGGCCACAGTACAGAAGTATCTGGCCGGGGGTTGAGGGAGGTGTTACCTTGCGGTAACAGCAGAGGAACCTTGAGGGAACTGTAGTTCATGCCACTGTGCAGAGAAGCAGCTGATAGCTCTCCCAAGTACTGTAAATCGCTGTCGTCTTCTCCTCTTTTGGAGAACAGCAGGAGCGGTTAACTTGCAACGTTTGAGCCTCAGTTCTGTCCAGATATCCCCTTTCCTCCCAAAACAGACTCTTAGCAGTGGCTGAGCTGAAGATTAGGTGCCCTCCTTGCACAGCAGACTTAGCGCAGTTCCTGAATTAACCCATAAGCTGATCGGACAGCCTGAGTTCTCATAACATGCTGACTCACAAGAAAACTAACCAAGTTTAATTCTACCCACACTTAGCATGCTGTGCACAGACAGCTAGTCAGCTTCTACTTGACTGAGTAAGGGTGAACTCCTCTTGCTCTGCTTTTAGGTAGAGTACCTTTTGCAAGTATTGGACTACAACACTCAACACCCCCAGCCAGGATAGGCACTGGAAATGCTGGATCTCCAACACCCTTGAAAGGAGAAGGATGCTAGAGAAGGAAGGCCCCTCTCCTCAAATGATCACTGAAAAGAATAAATAGGTTCTGGATGCGTGGTGGTCCAGGGAGGGATGATGATTTTGGGAAGGGAAACAGGTGTGGGTCTGTCCCCATTCCTCTCCCCCCTCCCGCCGCCGCCGCCATCTGTGAAAGACTGGAGTTTGTGCAGACATAATTTGCAGCTTTCTCCCTTGGACGGTAAATTACAGACCCCAGAAAGTTGCATGTGGCAAAGCAGAGCGGATTGAGGCTGTTTGCTGTGGCGATGCATGGGTCTCGTTTCCACAAACAGCAGCATATGAAGTGAGTAGGAAAACCTGGGCTGGGCTGTACCCATTTAGGTAGGCTTGTTTGGAGCCCTGGACCAGGGTCTTTGTGCAGGGGTAAGTACCTGCTGATGTCCACACACAACCTGCGGCTGCGCAATGTGCTGGAGGAGGCTAAAAGAGGGTTGGGCGATTTACGCTTCCGTGTATTGTGAGAAGGCAGTTCGGTGAACTAGGCGTTCGTGTTAAGCCATCATAGTATGGCTTAGTTCTGTGGCATCCCATGTTACGTTAATCTGGGTTTAAACCCAGGCCCAGGCTCCATTCACACAGCCAGCTTACCCATTTCTCTAAATTGACTGAGGTTTTGGATTCACAGAATTGAATAGTGAACCGTCAGCCAACCAAACAGGTTCATTCACAAAAAACTAACCAGGATTCCCTCTGATCAAGCCGAGCGTGTTATGGGATTGTATCTACTAGATGTTTACCTGGGCTGATTGAGTGTGTTGTGAGAATACAGCCAGGCGGTCTCCAGTGGGAGTGAAATGGCCCAGCATCCCCAATTGCTGGGGGGCCCCAGTGACCAGGCAGGGCCCTGATGCGTGGCAGCTGAATAGATGACCGGCTGCTCCCCGCAAATAGAAAACTAGGAATAAAGGGCCATAGCCTGAGATGCTAGTTCACTTTGTGTAAGGATTTCTTCTTCTTGCGGAAGCTTCAGTTGCAACCTGAGACGGTGCCCTCCAGAAACAATTTTTCCTGCTTTGTCTCTCTTTTCCTCCGAAATGCTGTTTGCTCCGGAGCAGAGAAACCATGTGGTATTGACTCAATCTCTCGTGTGTGGATGCTACCAGCCGTGCATCTTCAGATTGCAGTAGACACACCCCATAAACTACTAACCCTTTGACCAGTTTTAATGTTGTACCCAGAGCATTGAGTTTTTTAAGCAAACATATTCGCTGGAGGGATTAATTTGGCTTTGCTTCTGAGCTGGGTCGGTATACGGTATGTTTTATTTTCTCTTATTTCTGATATTCCGCCCCTTAACTCCGTGGACCTGTTATATTTTTGAGAACATTTAATATCGTGGTGTTCCTGCATATCGGAGGACTCTGAAAAGAAATGGGTGATGAGTCAGCTGGTATTTTGTTTTGCGCAAAAGAGAGTCTCTCTCTCTTTTTTTTTAATCCTCCGGCTACTTTAATTTTAGCCCGCCTTGGGATAATACAGAGGAATTTGAAAACAGCCCTGGGATTGAAAATAGACTCATATGCTTTAAATGAAAGGCTTCCGGATACAAATGTTAGAAAGACAGGTCAAACACACTTTGTATTTTGTTGGTTGCAATTTTGTAGGAAGCATCGATTCTGTGGTTTTGGAAATGAAAACCTTTAGCCCAGGAAGACGAGCAATGCCAGTTGTTAATGTTAGCATATAGGATTGTCTTGATTGCATTTGCCAAGTAAGTAAATTGGCATAGTAAGAAAAGGCTGCCTAGATCAGTGTTTTTCAAACTTGGCAACTTTAAGATGTGTGGACTTCGACTCCCAGAATTCCCCAGCCAGCCTTAAAGTTGCCACGTTTGAAAAACACTGGCCTAGATTGACAACCAGGCCGGGTCTACTGTCTAAATCTATCTTTTCTGGACAACTACAAATTTGGCAAAGCACACATCTAGAAGAATCACTAGGGCTGCAAAGATCCAGACAGCCACTAGAGGGCCACACTCAGGTACAGTCTAAGCCTTTATTGCCACCTAGAGGATGTCTGGAATATTGCAACCCAGTTATGGTAGTCTCTAGTATCTTTTAATTTAAACAATTAATTTAAACGGTTGCAGTGGATTGGAAATGCCCCAGAGATCTTTGAGCATGCTGTGCAAGTAGGCAAGGGTAGATAAATAACTGTTTATTTCAGCAGTACAGTACTTAAATTAAATTTAACCAAAGACCAGAGTGTTGGCCGCAAGGCATAGCATTGAGGATAGTTGTCAAAAACAGGAATAAACCAATATTAACCCACCACATTATGTTCTGGCAATCCATCTGATCGGTGGTTTGCAACTAATTAAGTTTGTTGTCTGAATGTAATACGTCTTATGCTAGAGGTGCCCCCTTCCCTGTGTCTCCTTCGCATCCTATCCTTCCACTGGCCTTGATTGTGTTTTTTTCGCTTCAGCTTGGCAAAATGGGTTAATTCAGGAACCAGGTTTGGTTTGTTGTGCAAATACATTTGCTCTGATTCAAGTGCATCGCGATTGGTGTGCTGTTGGCATTACCCTCAGCCCGATGGCACAGTGCCATTTCTTTCAGGCTCAGATTATACCTCTCCAACTACCAAGGGCATATTATCTTTTATCCTAAAGTATATAGGCCTTTAATTCAGCACAGCATAAATGCCTGCTCACTCCCAGCCTCATAGTGTGTTGCAGTTTTTAGATACGAAACTGATGATGTGGATCCTAAGGCAAATTTAGGACGGATGGATTTATTCTTGCCAAGCTAAGAGGAAGTGAAGATGTTCCTTTGGGGACCAATTCAGTTGCCTTGCAGGATTCACATCAGTACACAGAACCACACTTGTCTCAGTGGGAATACGAAGATTATGTTTTGCAGCCCGTCCCAGATTCAACCTCAGGCATCATGGTTAGACTCTCCTTAATCTCCCAGAGACCTCTCTCATTAAGGCTGTGCTTGGGGACATTGAAAATTATTCAGAACATATGCGTTGCACCTCACAAATGCAGCACCTTCTGCTGTCCATTAAAGCAGACATGTCTTTTTTCAGGCTTTCAAACAAGCCTGAAAAAAGATGTGGCTGCTTTAAAGAATTGCATTTTTAAAGCAGTGTATCTTTCGTGCAACTCTTTAAAACAGCCGCATCTTTTCCAGGCTTGTGTGAAAGCCTGAAAAAAGACGTGCCTGCTTTAATAAATACAGGTAGTCCTCACTTAACCATTTGTTTAGTGACCGTTCGAAGTTACAACAGTGTTGTACAAAGGGACTTACAACCAGACCTTGCGCTTACAACTGTCACAGCACCCCTGTGGTCACATGATCACGATCTGGGCACTTGGCAACCAGCTCGCACTTATGACAGTTGCAGCATTCCAGGGTCACGTGATCACCATTTACAACCTTCCAAGCCGGCTTCTGGCAAGCAA